GGATAAAATTGTCAGACCATAGTATACAAGTGAACAACCACTATCAATGTTGGCTTCTCCAATGAGACATTGAAAATATTACAAGATTTTCAAAAATTTAGCCTCATATTCCACAATTAACTCAGGGAAGCAGTGAAGGACAGGAAGGCCTGGCATGATATGGTTCATGGGGTCACGAAGAGTCAGACACGACTTAACGACTGAACAACAACATATATGGGAAATTTTATCCATTTTAAAATGGAAATAAATTAAGTGTTCAAATGCAAAGACAGTGGCTTTAAAGAGCATAAAACCCCATCTTTGTTTCTATTTTCGGGTATACATGATGCCCTGTTATTTTGATTCTGCAACAATTACTATAAACAGCTGTCATTTTACTTTATTAAATAAAGGAAATAAGTGGGGAGAATTCAACAGAAACAAGCAGAAAGTAACTCACCTCAGTGTTCTATAGACCTGACTGCTTAGTAAAAATGTTTAGTGTTGCAATTAAACCCTCCCATTTTGCTTGATAATATCGTACCAGTCACAGACATTTTTATTATATGTGCGCAGTCTCATATTCACAACAGGGATGGAAAGAGAAGGTGCAGATAACTGAAGAACTGAGGAATTGTAAGCAAAAGGTTCATTTGCAGCAGTCCTAAATAAACCAATTACAGAACAAGTCTCACTAAATGATATTACTATTGAATAAACACTATTAGGATTGTGTGTTAACAGTATTAGATGCTCCAGATGCTTCACTGCATTTCTATATGGCTTGCATAAGTTGTATGGGTTGATACAAATATAAACAAACAATTTAAAAGAGACCATGCAATAATAAGTAGTAAGCATTGAATATTTGGGATAAATACAGAAAAAGAGTAAGTCTCATGTTTTTCCCTCTTAGTGTCATTTTTTTGAAGACAAAATATTTGGCCACTGGAAAGATAACAAATTGTTTAGATTGCAAAACTTAATTCAGATTCTTTTCAGATTCTTACTTCACAAGGGTCTAGTGAAGTACCTGACTGGTTTTAGTCCCTTCAGATAAATAGTACTGTATAACACAAAAAGAACTGCAGAAACAAGGGGGAATACTCAGGGCCTTAGAAGAATTAAAATCATGTAACATACAATTTTGAAAATTTACTAGGTTTTATTTATAAGCTATTAGTGAAACACAGATTCAGAACAGGTCAAAGATTTCATGATTAAATAGATGCAGAATTTGAATTCAGAGATTCAAAATTGGGAATTTAAATGGAAGAATATCAAATTTAACCCAAATATTATACCTAAACTGGTGGATGACCTTCTACTGTTGATATATTACTCAAGTTTTGATTGCTAAAATGAATAATTCATTTTCTGAAATGTGTTGGAAATGCAAGGAGCAGGTTGGATCATTTTCTCATCTGTGGTGGCAGTGCCATGAAGATCAACCTTTTTGGAAAATGATTCATATTACAGTGAAACAAATTTTTAAAGTATAATCCCTTCTGTAACCTGCAATATTTTTATTGAAAATGTGTATTCCTTCTAAGCATACAGATATCCATAGCTCTATATATATTAACTGCAGAAAGAATATTATACACATCTTGTTGGAAAGAATGTTTGATTCCTTCTTTGCAAGAATGGCTATCAAGTTAGAGGAGTATGCTTTGATGTCCAAAGTAACTTCATTTTTAAAAAATAAATCTAATGTGGAACTCAATTCTAACTGGAAACCATTTTTAGACTTAATATATTAACTTAATATATGGATCTGTACCATACCCCAAATTTCGGTTTTTCTGTTTAGAATCTGTATTTCAATTTTATGAGAAATTTGATCTCCAGTGTCGATTTAATTACAGCCTATTTTTCCAATTAGTGTTTTATTCTGTGTTAACCAGTTTAATAGCAATGTTTAGTTTTTCCTTTAAAAAGTGATATATTTCATAGCTTTATGGGCAACTAATAATATATTTAAAAACTGTAATTTCCATGACATTTCAGATCCCATGTTCTCTTACTTGTATCTTATTTTTTATTCTTTTTACATGTCTTTTATTCTTCATGGTTCACATTCTTTTAAAAATGTTTGATATAAAATTAAAGATTAAAAAAAAACCCCTAAATACTTCACTGCAAAACTTAGTCATCAGAATTAGGTGAAGAAAGGAAATGAAGGGAAGGTTTAGTGGGTCAAGCAAGTTCATTTCCAATGGTTATTTAAAAGGAATTTGTACAGAGTTCAACTTTGTACAAAATATATATTTTTTCCATAATGTTCTGACAACTTTTCTTGATATCACTGACGTATCTTCTGAATAGCTAGAAACTGAGCAGATTTTAGCATTTGAATTCTAATGATAAAACTGAACCAGTTCTTGTGCATGGTATATATTTTCATATAATCCCATCAGGGAAAATGGGTGTGTATCATTACAGAGTACTGTACCTAAATGTTGTTAGCATTCAATTTCCTTCACGTTCTCTAAAAGTTTGACAAAAGGAATAAAGGAATAATTATATATTTTGGAGTCTGGCATTTGTCTTCATTTATGGAATAATCCTGGTACTGATCTTTGACAGCATTATGGTTTCCCAGAATTTTTATGTATTGATAAAATCTCTATAAAAAGATTGCCTAAATTACTAATAATCTTAGGCCAGAACATCGCTAGATAGCAGATTGATCTTTTTTCAGAAAAATATTAAGACCCTAACATTTTATTCCATTTGCTTAGATAAAATGCTTTCATAGCAAAAATGAAAATATATCTTCAAATAGACAAAAAGTTTTTTTTTAAGGCTGCCTTACTGGTTGCTAAGTTATATCATTAATATTTTGGATAGCAATATGATCAACTATTTATGCAATACATTTAAAAGATCTGATATGGGGGCCGCACTTCCACTGGAGACATGCCTTGAAATAAAATCCTCTAAATGCGGGGATTAACAAGCTACTACCCAGAGAAGTAACACCTCTGCTTTGGTCTTCCTGATCATACAAGTGACAAAATTCATTTTTATTTCTATAGTTTCCAACCAGCAAGAAATCACACATAAGAAAAAAAGGTTCCAGTATATATCAGATAAGAAGTATAGGGAAGATAAAATAAGGCAAATTTATTCAAACGCATATTGCTGGAATACCAAAGGCCAAGTTATAGCTTTAGTGTTCTTGCTGATTTATAAATATGTAATTAGTGACAGTTTTTGTCTATAACAAAATGTACAATGTTGAAAAAGAAACTGGCTTTCTTTCTCAGGTTGAACTGGTATTATACAAACAATGGATTAAAAATGTTTAGGGCCAACCTTGAAACTATTTGTGAATTTGTCAAGCACTTACAACATTATAAACTAAACAGACAAGTCAAACATGCTCTTTTACTGCTTCTATTTTAGAAGAGTACCTCCTATGCTTTAAGCACATGGTGACAGGAGGTTACTATAAAGGGGAAGGATGGAATGAAGAGAATTTAAAAGTATATCATTGAAAATAAAGACTAGAACAAATCTTTAAGTCTGTACACTTCTCAAAATATACAAGTTATGATCTTTAAATGTAATTTAAACAAGTTAACATCTCACATCTTATGTAACAGCATATGCTCCCACTGCTTTCTCCTATACTATACCACATTTTGGATGTTTAAGTTGTAATTCTTACTTGCAAACTGAGTTCTACAGAATAACATGGCAGTTTAACCATACTCAGCCATTTGTATGAGGTGGCAAGACTATTAATTTTAACAAAAGATAAGTGAATATCATCAAATTATATTTTTGTTTCCTTTATACTTCAATTCTTCAAGAATTTCACAGTGCACAAATGCTTTATTCTATCATTGGCTAGTTCCTTATCTTCAATTATTCATGTTATAATGAGTTTGGGAACTAAGCTCAAAGTGCAATAATCAAAGAAAACAAATCTACATCCCTTCAATGCTACTACATTTTGGGGACAGAAGGAACACCAGGAGTAACCTTTCCATTTCCACATTATATCCGGCTCTGGAAAAACATCACTCATTTCTACTTGCCATAAACCTGTGATATTTCTCTTGTATAGACTGTAATATTGATTTTAATAATCTGCACATAAAACTTTTGATTTTTGTTGAAACTCTCTTAGAAGCAAAGATTGTTGCTATCTAAGCAACACTCCCTTGGTCTCAAGCAAGACGTGGTCACAGAAGAATTTCTTCTTGCCATCTGTATAGGTTCTGTGTGAATTCTGCTAAGAGGTACAATCCTCTGAAGCAAAAGAGCATAGCATCTTCATTTAAACAGTTGTCCATCTGAAGCAGTGGGATTCATTTTATAAAAAGGACATAAAAAGCCATGACAATGCAGGATATTGCCACTGCTGAATGAAGTCTGGTACCAATCACTGCCGCTGAAAAATATCAAAGTCCATTTATTATTCAAACAATAGTGAGCATATGTTACTTCACATAATTCTTTGAGAATGAAGAAAAATAAAAAAAAATCTTGCAATGCACGCTAAGAGTGCAATGCTAACCTCACTAACTTCCAACCTTTGGACCTAACATTTCTGCATCCTGCTCACAGAATCTCTTTAAGGTTTTTCAACTCAATCTTTCTATAATACTGCCAGCACCTTTTCAGCCACAGCAGAGACCACTACAATAATAGAGGTCTGCCTCTACCCAACTTGCTGATCTCCTTCAACCAGTGAAAAAGTGAGTCAATCACCAGCAGATTGTCACACCACCTTTGTCAGTAATGTCAGGTTAAGCATGATTAAACCCTCTGATTTCAGTGTGCATGCTACACCAAGTGCTAAAACTGAAAAATCCTCAATGAATCCTCAAGTTTGCTGTATATAAGCAATAACTGCCAATTCCAATTAAATCAAAGTGCCAACACACTCTTACTTTATCAAATAAACAAACATAAAGAGATTTAAAGCTAAATCACTGAGGGAACATACAGCAGTTGTTTAATTAAGTTCTCCTATCTGTCCTGGTCTGTTTTACATGCCAAACTATCTTCCATCTAAACTATGGTTTCCAAAACTGAGGTGCACCTCTCTTGGGGAGGTGCAGACAGAGTCCAGGGGAGGCATGAAGAACCTTTTAGTTGCATATTGTCACAATAAATCCACTTTTCCCAAAGTTTCATTGTATTGTTTTCATTGTTCATTTTAGTGTTTTGTTTGGATTTTTTAGGGGAGGTGTGTACATTAAGATTACACTAAAGGGAGGTGTGATGGCAAAAAGGTTAGGAACCCCTGATCTAAACTGCCCTTCGTCCCCAAGACGCAGGAAGCCCGGCTTCTGCTACTCTGAACGCTTCTCCGACAGGACTTCCTCCTGCCTGTCTAAAGCTTTCCCACTCTGCGTTGTTGCGCCGGTCCTTGGCGCTCCATGCGACACTCCTACCTTTGTAAAATACACCCCAGACGCCCCTCTTCTCCGAGAGCAGCCAGGCTTTCAGGCGAGGCACCTTCCGGAAGTATGCGCAGGTACAAACGAAGAGCAAGCCAAAGACCAAGAGCCCGTCCAGGGAATACACTGAGAGAAGAACAGGAAGAAAGTCAGTGCCGACTGTGTGGACAGTTCCTGCTTTCGGGGGATGCGGGAGCATGAAAAAGGAGGCTGACACGCGAACCCCACAGCGGCCTGGGGCCCCCGACCCGAGGGAACCGCCCCGCTCGCGGGAGCATGAGCAGTCGCTGGGCCGGCGAGCGGGGAACGCGCAACATCACCCAGAGAGGACGGCCAGGGGCGCATTTCAGAGCGGGAGAACGGGACTAAGACCCGGCTGCTCACCATTAGCCATGGCGACCGCCCCAAGAGCCAAATCCGGACCCGTCACCGCATCTCTAGGAGGAATGAACGGCCAGCGCGGCACCGGAACCACTAAGTACCGCTAATCGAGCTCAGATAGGGAAGCGTCCTCGAGCGCTGATGAGTCCTAGAACGGCGCGTGTTGTTACTTCAGGCAGCAACAAACGAAGACCGATGGAACTGCTGAGCTTGATGGGTCGCTAAATCAGCCCGCAGGTTCTTTAATCTGCGGGTCGGATTTCCTGATCGTTTCGGAAGTAATGTTTGCCTTTTATTAATATAGCAGTGGTAACATCTGCTCATAGACGGTATACAAATTAAAGACTCTTAATGACACATTAGCCATCAATCAGCGGTTATAATGATTTGGAAGCGACGTATCCAGCGCCAAAACAATAAAAGTTAAAAGAGCTCTCTTGCGTCATTCCCTGAAGCAACTCATAGAGACTAAAATTAATTTATATAGGTATTTATTATTGCATTAATATTCAGCTTTTTCTCTTCTGCATGCTTGTCTCTCCTGACTAGCCTAAAGTTGCATAATGAGCTCCCTGGATTTGGACTTGCACTACATGATCCTAAAAAGCAAGAGGAACGAAGGAGAAATTATTCTTTCCAAATAATTGATGCTGTGGAGACCGAAAAAAGAATCAGAATTGGAGGGGCTATTTAGGCTATACTGTAGAGTCCAACATTCTCCTCCATGCAGTAATCCAAATTAAAACTTCCGTAATAAATGTCTGCCCATCCTTTCTTGGAACACATCCCATCACTTCCCTATATAACTGGTTCTACATTGGAACAGGAATGAGGACACTATGTATTGAGATTGCTCCAGGTTAGATAGCAATTTGATATTGTGGTCTCCCAAGCAATGTGCCTTGTAATGGCTGCAGCGAATGGCGACCTAGACATCCTCTAGTGGTCAGACTGAACAGCGAGCACACCTTGGAAACTGCAGCCATAATGTTAAAATGTATGGAATAAGGCTGCTCACCATAAATGAGCAAAGTGGTGACTCCCATTCATTCTGAGACACTGCAGTAACCAAACCAAAAGAAAGTTAACACTCTTCCTCAAGACAAGGGAAGTGATTTAGAAAAGATCGTGTGCTCAAGCAACTGTCAGGCAACTCACACTAAAGGTGAGAAACAGCAGAAGTTGAAAATGCTACAATGCAGACTTCCTAACAAAGGTGATGGGGACTGAATTTGATAGTGGACCTGAGTATGTGGAAGTTGTACCTGCATATGAAGACATGGGTAGGGGGCTAGCATATGAGAATGTGTGCATCTGTGACAGAAGCTGCGTTCAGTGTTCTTGTCAAGAGTGATATATTCCTTCCCAATGACATTCTTGTCGAGAGTGATATATTTCTTCCCAATGATATGCCCATG